ATATGCTTTGATTCCTCGATCCACAATTACCTCAATGGTGGAACACTTTGCCTCCTACCCATTCATTTTCATTCACCTTTACATAATGTAAGAAGGTTCAATATTCTTCCTGATGGACATTAATTGTAATTAGAACCTCTTGATCATTATAATCGAGGATTTACTTTTGTTTTCTTGCAATTTTTACCTTTCTTTATGCCTCAAACTTTTTTGCATTCGATTTGTTAAAAACGACACTACACCTCGAGCATAAAGCAACTTCCTCATCTTTCTCTTTCTTTCTGATAAGTAATATTATGCATAAACCTCTAAAACACAAATGTTATAAAATTTCATAACATGACATTTTTCACTCGTCATAATCAATTATGATACATCGAAATGGAAAAACGATTTTCTCTATCATAATTGATTATACTAGTAACATAATCGATTATGGCAGTTCATATTTGAAAAATATATCCGTTTTGAAGAATAAATGTTTTTAAAAACATCCTAATTTTTCTCTACGAAAGTAATAATGACCAATGACTATTTTCTCGATGTTATTTTCTCGATGTTATTTTCCTCTTTACATAAGTTTTGATGAAAAATAAAAAAATACACAATTACATAATTCGAAAATACAATTTTACATTCATTTAATTTTAAGAAAATAATTTTGAGCAAGGCAATAGAGATATTTTACACCTTCTGAGAAAACTCTCTTCTCTACTGCATTTTGCACTTTCATTGTTAATCACACTTATTCTTGGAGGTTGGCATGCTACAGGCTTCTACAATTTGTTGTCTCCATTACCCAGGTGTGACTGTTCTTATTTTATTACCTTCATCCTTTATGGGCTTAGGTGGTTGTGGTTAAGTTCCCTTTTTAGGATTTAGGTTGTTGCTCTTATTTTCTTTGCCTACAAACTAAGGGTTTTCTTGTGGATACTGTTTCTTGAGAAGTGTGTTTCTTTGTTCATCCCTTTGATTTGTTTGAGGAGGTGTTCATCCTTGGTGTGATTCTAGGGAAGTGTTCATCCTTTGTGTGTTGGTGGCAAATGAGGTATTTTTCATCCTTTGATTTGTTCAGAGGAGGTGTTCATCCCTAGTGAGATTCTAGTGAGGTGTTCATCCTTAGTGGGTTTCTAAAGAGGTGATTATCTTTTTAATTAGTTTACTTTTTACTAGTTCCTCTGCTGAGTTAATTGTAATTTGTAAATTGAATTTTAAAGATAGTGAATTGGGGTCACTCTTGTGATTAGAGTTGACTGGGAACTGGATGGAGGATTGGTTATACCCGAACCAGTACAAATTACTGTGTGTTTTTCTCTTCCTTATACCTCTGTGATAACATTTACTTATTTCCTTCCCTTTATCTCTTTGATTATATCGCTTCCGCTATATTTGTATTTTTTCTAATAATTAAAATTGAATTAACAAATTATTTGACATCTTAAATTAAATAAATTTTTAATTTGACATCTAATTTAATTTGTGCATATATTCATTCCCTTCTAGATGTCATTTGTATAACAGATGTTCCTGTTAAAACAAGCTTTCTTTCTTGTACCTTAAATTTCATACTCAGTTTGTCAAAATTCTATGTGATATCCCCCAAAGTAACCAGTCATTCTATGCCCAAAATGATGTCACAACACCCTAACGGAATCAACATCATGTCAAAACAAAATATGATATTCTAAACAGTCCATTTGAATTATCTAACAACAGATGTAATGCTCAATCTACTACCATCAGCTACACTTACATGTCAGGATTTAAGATCTTTAATTTTACATCCTAACCTCTTAGCCATTTCCACATCTAGAAAATTATGTGTGCTACCACTGTCAATCAGAATATGGATGGTTTTCATGTTGTGGTAGCCTGTCATTCTCATGGTTCTAAAGCATGGAACACCCATCAAAGCACTTACAAATATTTCAGGTTGAACTAACTCACTCCCTCCTTCATTTGTGTCTTGGTCTTCTTCTTCTTAAGCAATAGGACTTCCTAATTCCATGACATGTATTTGAAGTTTTTTGTGGGTGAGGCTATGTTTTGGGTAAAAGATTGGTCACAAAAATAACATAGGCCTCTAGTCCTTCTTTTACTCATATAAGATGGAGTGAGTGTTTGGGTGATTTGTATTGTAGGTTTAGGTAATAATGGATTCGTGATAGGAGTCGTTTTAGTCTGATTCTTTGTCAGAAATTTTGTGCAACGGTAGGTTTAAAGGGTTTTGAAAAAGGGGTTACAATATTAGGTTGTGTTAGTTGATTCATATAACTTGGCTAATGTAAAGGCTTTTCGAACTGTGGTTGGCTAGAATATCTTAACCATCATTTGTGTGTCTTATTTCAATCCTCCCAAAAAACAACTGAGGGTATATTCTTCTGGAAAATTGAGTATATTAATCACAACATCAAATTTTTCATGATAAGTAACAACTGCAATTTTCTGTCGTAATTTCATTAACTTTGATATAGGGTCATCGTCGACATCTCCAAATCTTTCTATCATGATCTTTGTATATTCAGGCCAAGAAGGGAAAACAACAGACCCTCCTATTTTAGTATGGGCAATATGTCATTGTAAAGCCTTTCCTTTAAAATGTACAATAGTTAACCTTATAATCTTCAAGGGTTGTGTCAATTTAAAAGTATGTTTCACATTGATAAATTCATTGATTAACATTTTCACCATTGAACTTTGGAAAATTGATGCGTCCTAAACAAGTTCCACAAAAAGAAGATGAATTATTATGACGTTCACCTCAATGAGGTTCTTGATTATGAATTATGGTTTGGATCTTTTGGTTTAAAGAATTATCAAGATTTTGGTGCACAGTCCCTGCCAAAACCATGAAGCATTGATCAATCAAAGAATTCAACCGTTCATCAATCATTGAAATCAAATGATCCTCCATGCATTCTTTCATTTCTTTCAAAGAAGTTTGTGACTGAGTTACATCAGCCATTGCATGAGAAGTTGGAAGGTCCTAGCTAATACCGTTGATATGAAACCAAATATGAATTAAGAACTCTAAGGAGTTCGAAGAATAGAGAAAAGGAAAATAGGGAATCCTAAGGAAGAAAGTGTTGGGAATCCAAGTGCGATTCTAAGTCCCACATTGTGTAAATATGAGAAAGTTGAGCAACATATAAGGAAGTATGACCCATAATCTAATGCATTAAGGTTTTAGGTTGAGAGTGGTGTCAATCCTTATATGGGTTGGACTCATGTCTCATTGGTTTGTTTCTCCCTTGTGAATCCCCCTCGAAAGACCTAACAAGTGGTATCAGAGCCAAAGGTTTATCAACAATGGGACAAAGTGGTATTTGTATCGAAAGTCTTCCTGACAGAGTGAGTCACTAGTCAGCTCGAGAGAATGTACCAATGTGGAAAGTGTGATTCTATGTCTCACATTGTGTAAGAATGAGAAAGTTTAGTAACATATAAGGAAGTAAGACTCATAACCTAGATTTTGGGTTTAGGGTGGTGTCAATCCTTATGCGGGTTAGGCTCATGTCTCATTAATGTGTTTCTCCCTTATGAATCCTCCTCGAAAGAGCCAACAAGTGGTATCATAATCGAAGGTTGATCAGTAGTGAGACAGAATGATCTTTGTATTGAAGGTCTTCCTAACAGAGTAGGTCAGGTAAGCATGTCCCGTTAGGATGAATGGCGGTACATGGAAGGGCCACTAGTGAGCTCGAGGAGATGTACTAATGTGGGGGAATTCATACTTGATGGGGAGATTGTTGGGAATCCAAGTGTGATTCTAAGTTCCACATTGTGTAAGAATGAGAAAGTTGAGCAACATATAAGGAAGTATGACCCATAACCTAATGTCTTAAGGTTTTTGGTTAAGAGTGGTGTCAATCCTTATGTGATTTATGTTCATGTCTCATTGGTGTATTTCTCCCCTGTGAATCCCTCTTGAAAGACCCAACAAGTGGTATTAGAGACAAAGATTGATTGGCAATAAGACAGAGTGGTCTTTGTATCGAAAGTCTTTCTGATAAAGTGGGTCAGATAAATGTGTCCCGTTAGAGTGAACGACGGTACATGAGAGGATGTACCAATGTGGAAGAATTCATATTTGAGGAGAAGATTGTGGAGAATCCAAGTGCGATTCTAAGTCTCACATTATATAAGAATGAGAAAATTAAGCAATATATAAGAAAAAATGACTCATAACCTAGTGCTTTAAGATTTTGGGTTAAGAGTTGTGTTAATCTTTATATGGGTTGGCTCATGTTTTATTGGTATATTTAACCTAACAGGAATATGAGAATTTGTATTTTAACTGCATACCGAGAAGAATACAAGAATTCAAGTTTAAATAATGTTACAAGAATACAAGAATTAAACGACGCAAGGTTTTACTTATACAAAACCAGCTGAACAAATAACAAGGTTGTACCTTTGGGTATACAGAAAATATGTAAAACAAAAATAAATAGAAATATGACACTCAAGGACCGTATTTATTTCAGAATTTTCTCAACAAAGATCAATTTCATGTTTTAATATTCTGGTCCATACTTATGAAAAATTATATGATAGAAAAAAAATCCTGAGATTTTACCACAAAGAAAGATCTTTGACACAAACAAGGGATTGCATTTCTGCAATGTCTCGTGTTGATCATGTAAAGGATATAAGCAAAAGGCATATACTCCCAAATTGCCACACTATCGGAGGAAGCTATAAATCCAAGAAAGATCATTTTCAAATTGCAAATTCCGTGCAGCCTATTTGATTCAGAACAACACTTGAATTTATTTGCAGTTCCTTGAGTAATTTTAGTGTTATTCTGCTATTAAAATTGGGGTTTTACTTACTAAACTTTAGTGTGAAGTTTCGTTACATGAATTATCAAAGTAAAACGCCAATTAAGAACGTGAAAAAACACTAAAAGCACCTAGCTAACTGTTTCGGATGAACTTAACATACCCAACATGAGAATGATGAAGAAAAGAGAATAAAAGAAAGGGTAGGGTAACAGCTCAAAAAGGAATAATGTTGTAAATATAAGAAAGGACATGCAGGTCCAAATTAGAGAGAGGACCGTAGCCAAAAAGGGAGCCAGCGAAGGCACTACAAGCAGAGTTGCAGGCGGAGAGAAGAAGGCAAAAGGTGGGAGACGGAGTAGAGGAGCCTTTTGTAGGATTCGGAGCAGAGTTCACACCACCTACTGAATTAACTGTAACCTCCGATGCCATCACTTCGGACATTTCACGATGGGATGACCCTGCTCTTCACATTAATTTATTCAACGCTAACAACATCTCTTTCGGCAATAATCAAAACTGTTATTCACTACTGTCAATTAACTGAGACCCTCCTTTCCCACAAAATAATAAATATTTAGGAACACAAGGACAAGGTCCTTCTCTCATTATGGACGTATTGTGATTCTCATTGTTATTAACGATAATCATTTTTTTTTTCTGTATAGAAACCAACGAAATGGACCGTTTTCATCTTTTTTTAACAAAAACCATGAAGAGGCACAAGCTATGGTAACATAGATTACCAAAAAGTGATATCTTGACCAACTCTACAGCAAAGCTGAAATTCGAGCTAGCTAGCCTCTAACATGGAAATGGTTGTCCTGTTTAATTGCTAAGCAACGGGTTATGCTATAGAGTGAAAAAACAAATCTCCCCATAGTTCATGCGAATAATGCAAATGTGAAGATTATTTTCTCCCGTGTAGTGTGACTGCTAATACTCTTGCTTTGACCCGAAGATATATATGATAAGATTCCACTTTAAGTAAAGAGAAGAAAATTTTGAAACCGATAGTCTCAATAAATTAGCAATTTGTGTGCAAGAGTTGTTGTCTAGTGCCATCCGAAACTGTAAACTTCGAATTGATTTTATTTTGCTTAGGGACTTCTGCAATCAACCTAAAAGTCTGTCAGAAACAAAATGTTGCCCTGCCAAGTTGTTGTAGGTGTTACGTAAGGCATCTTGTGTGAATACTAAAATTATTAAATTACTATTGGTTGTAAGTATTCAATTAACATTTCAGTCATCTGGTAGGTGACCAGAGCGAATTGTATAGTACACAAACATGACACGAGAGATTTTTTAATCGTAAGACAAAACATACTTTTCCTTTCATCAACTTATTTTTCACCAAAATACATATTTGATACCATTATCCACGGATATCTGAAATGAATAACAGAATGAGTGATAAATACAGCATTCGTAACACGACTAATGTCAGGTAGCAATAGAAATGCCATTATCCGACAAGAAGTACATACAGTTCAGTTCCACCCTGAAAAAAAAAATACTGAACAACTCATGATAACCAAAATCAAATTCTATGCAGCAGCCAATTTGTGATCCATGTTCTCTAACTTACAAGGAGCTACATCTGTTCCAATACTTATTCGCCCTCACTCAATATAGGTACAATCAGTGGTTTCATCTGTGCAAGATATACAATCGCCCACCTAAAAGAACAGAAAAAACACCAGAGTGAGCCTATGACAAAGAAGATATGGTTTGGTATTTATAAGCTATAATTACAACTGAACCAATTACGAACAGAAAATAGCTCACTGAAAGATCAATCAAGATAGGATTCAATGTGAGTAGATAGGAAACTTGGGTGAACTATCAACAAAGAAAAAAGTCATACCCAACTCCCCAAGACAAGTAAACAAAACAAACCATTTTGAACATACAGTTACTCGTGTTCATCAAATTTTACCGCAACCTCCTTGTAAATAATAAAATACTCGTAATGAAGAACAAAAATACAAATAAATAAGTAGATAAACTATTTATTTATAGTATCCTCTTGTAAAATCACACATTTAAGATGTGCATATATAAAAATGACAATGAGTAGGTCTACTACGAAAAAAAAAAAAAAGAGAGAGAGAGAGAGAGAGAGAGAGAAACTTGGCAGCCTATTTACAGTTGGACACATCTTAAGTTACAATTGTGGCATGGCAGGCTCCTTCTTCACTTATAAAACTAATGGCCTTTCATAATAAAATAAAGGAATCGAGGCTTATATATGCTCAGGTACAATCACTTGAAATAATCCTACTTTCACAGAATTCAATTATTATTTTTCGTAGGAGGACTGCTATTCCGCTCTGGTATTTAGAAAATAATAACAAAAATTCACATGCAATTCGCCAGTATTGGTCTAATCAATAAATGTCAGCTACGTGGGGAAAAAACCATATTATTTTTCTTCTTCTATTTTAATCAATAGATTCCATGTCAGGGGAAATAAAAGACGTAAGTGCACAAATTTAATTCCTATTTTAACTTAAACACAAAATAAAAGAAAAATGCCCATCAAAAAACACTTACATCATCCAGCAGCAAATTGTTGCAGTAATTACCAAAGTTAGGTGAAATCTGCAGCAGAATAAGAGATTATACACACGTCAATAAGGACAATAAACATTGACAGAGAACAGCAATGGAAAATAATGCCACAATGAATATTAATTAGATTTGCAAGGAATGCATGAGTTTGTATAAATTCTTCAGGATCTGCTCAAGTCACTAAATAAATATGAATATGTAGCATTTATAAAACGAAAAAAAAGGGTGCAATAAATGGCTGATAACCATATTAAGTTATCATATGTTTGTTTTACGTTCTCACACTTTCCAAAACAACTTAACGTGAATGGGCCAAAAGGTTGGATTGGTGTTGAAAGGAGTTTCTAACAGAAAAACAAACACACAAATAAGAACAATAGCAGTTAATGTGTTCAGTAAGTGTCAAGCACGCTGTCATAACCAAGGCAGCAACCACATGCCAGAAGGACCAAACCCCATAACACTCTTGCCATCTTTACATGCACAGAAATTCCAGAGAGACAATTAACATCCAGGAACATTGTTTTTTTTTTTTTCCAAAATACTGGTCAATTCATATCTTCCCAAGTGAATCAGCAATGTCTGACTAGAAATACATTTATTTTAATTTTGAGCAAGACAACCTTGATCTATGCTCATCTCATATATCTTCGCAAAACATTAAAGCAGCAGCAGGATCAACAACATCAGGAAACAACAAAACACATTTCTCGAACAATCCCTAAACTCATCAGATCAAAATCCCATTAATTGCACTAATAGAACTAAACCAAAACCAATGAAGAGATATCCCGTTCACGCAACCTAGCCAAATCACGAAATCCAATTCACAAACATGTCAAACTATATACTCCAATTGAGTGAAGAGCACCATAATCCTTCGAATGCTCACCACACTCGACATTGCTAAGGTACCGAAATCCATAAATTGAGAATTTAAAACAGAATAAACAAACAGAATCGAAATAGATACGGAAAAGGAGCGTACAGATTGGTAGAAGGTCCTCTGTTACAGCAGATTCTGGTGCAGAGACACGCGATAATTCCGATCACTATGAAGATCAGCGTCGTCACCAAGAAACCCATGTCGAGTCGTTCCCTTCCAGATCCCGATCAGAGAAAACGAATTCCTAGCGCGAATTGAAAAAGAGAGTGAAATAAAATGTGAATTAATTGATCGATTGATTTTGGATCGGAGGCGAATTGAACCCTATTATTTGGGGCGTTTGGATGCCGAGAAAATGGTGGAAAATGAAAGAAAGTGAAAATAAGAAAAGAGAAAAAACGTTTGAATAATGATAGTTTGTTATGTTACCTCTGAACTCTGAAGCAGAGATCTCACGGGTGCTGTGATTCGATCACCTTCGCATATAGTGTGCGATGCGTAGTCGATTTTCTCCTTCAGAATAAATTGGGCTTGAGCCCAATCAGGCCCAAAACTCGGTCTACTATCGGGCTATACATATGGTTACCTCCAATTGGCCGTAGTAGTATTATGTTGGTTTTATTTACTGAAAAACAAAATGAATGTTAGAGATATTGTTGCAATATTTTTTCTATCGACATTTACTTATTTAGCAGCATTGCTATTTAATATGAATGAATTTTCACATAAAGAGAAAGGGATATATCAAGAAAGAGAGAAAAAATCGTCCTAAAGAAAAAGAAAAAGAAAAAGTCACTTTCACATGTTTTTACAAAAATATTTAGATGTAATTTAATTAACCAATTAATTCCTTGTATAATTATTTTGTTTAAATCCTTATAACTATAATTCTATATTAGTCCAAATAACAACTTTATGTTTAAATCATTACATCTATAATTCTTTTGTTTAAATCCTTATAAGTATTTTTTTTTTTTTTACGTTTTACCCCATACATATTTATGTTGTGACAATTTTACACCACCAAAAACTGACAACCAACTAAAAAGACAATTTCATAAAAAATATCAAAGGGTATTTCTCTTTTCACCTCCATTCATTTAATATATCAATTTCTATTTATTCCGAAATAAACTTTTCCAAATATATTTTTTTACATCCTAGAAAGTTTGTTTAAAATGAACAGAAGGTGATCAAGAAATAGTTTAGCCCAATTACAAAGGCTTAATGACTATTAATTTATTCTCTTAGGAACCTCGATATCCCAAAGATTAGATGTTGAAAAGTTATATACTTTTACGTATAACGTGGGTTATATCATTCAAATAATGTGTAGGTCTTTATACACTACAAAACTTATTCATCGGGTATTATAACACTAAGAATCCTCTTAGAAATTTTACATTAGCATTGAATCGTTGTTTCGATCCTAACCACTGCATAAAACTCTTGTTGATTATGCAGTTCACAAAAAACACAAGAATTTATTAGATCTAAGCATGTATAACGTAACCTTTATATATCCATTTCCTTGACAAAAATGATGTTTGAGTGAGCTACAAGTTAGCTGTTTGTTACTCTACAATCTGACTCGCGAATCATGCAAATAGCCAATTTGTTTGAAGAAAAGAAGTTCGTAAAAGCAAGCTTCACACTTGAAAGATGCCATCACCAGAGTGGCATCTCAACTAATCTTCATAAAAATCAAAGCTTGATTAGCTACATGCAAAAAGAAGGGTAAAAGAACTATGCAACTAAAAGAAGAGCTTTCGTGGGGATGCTCTAGATCCAACTGTTGGATAGTTTGAGGACTTGAGAGGAGAGGAAGCCCCCTTGCTTTCTTGGCCCTCAGGCACTCTGTCAAGCAACTTTGCTCCCCTTGGATCTGTTAATAGGGTCTTTTGGAAGGACTGTGAGAAGCCAGTTGCAATGATAGTCACATGAATCTCCCCATTGTAGCGATCGTCAACAACGGCACCAAATATGATATTGGCAGAAGGGTCAGCTAAACTTGTCACCACCTACCACAATTATTAAGTTTTGAGAACACCAAACAAATGTTTACAACAAATTCATGAGATGAAAAACTATGTTGAGTTGAGAGTGAAATGTTGCTTTTGCCAATAAAGTACCTGAGACACTCTGTTTACTTCCTGCAGAGTTATGTCTTTTCCTCCAGTAATATTATACACTACTCCAGTAGCTGACTGAATAGAAGAGCCGATTAACGGAGCCAAAGTAGCCTGCTCTGCAGCTTCTTCGGCACGGTTTTTACTGGAGGAAACACCCACACCAAGCATCGCAGTTCCAGAGTCTTTCATCACAGCTTTTACATCAGCAAAATCCACATTTACAAGTCCAGGTATCTGTAAACGACAACCGGAATATCATCCTCATAAGCTGACATCAAAACGTAATTTACATTAAATAATTGTCCAATCATGACAGTGGAGCAAACACTCAGAGAGTTGGGAGAAAGGAGATGGAAAAATTATTCAGGTATGTTATGTCCCTTCTCTTCACAATCTACCATTCTAGAGGGATCAACTAATGCTTTCCATGTTACAGTGACCACTTGCAGATAGAAAGTGTAATAAAATTTGCTAATCAACTCACTGTTATGATGTCTGATATTCCCTGTACTCCTTGCCGTAGAACATCATCTGCTAAACGGAAAGCATCTTGAAGTGGTGTCTGCTCATCAGCCATATCAAGCAGGCGGTCATTTGGAATCACTATAAGAGTATCCACATTTTTCTGCAGCTTTTCAATGGCTTCCAGTGCCTAAAAGGATAAAATCTTAATTTTAACTTCTCAAAGTATCATCTGAGCAAGACAAGACAATAACATCAATCAATTCTCAAAAATACATTTTCACAGTTCAGCCATAATTAGGATGGTACAGATGGAAGAAAAAAAAATGTAAACTCTAACGTCTTGAGAATACATAATAAAGTGGTAAAAAACAAGTTTTTAAAATCGGACCAATCCTGAACAAGTGAAAACATGGGTTCAGGTTTAAAGGTCCAACTCAAATTCTACCAAATTTAATAAAATAAAATTTTTATAATATAATAAATTCATTAATAATAATATTTAAAAGAAAAAAACAATTACAATAATAGTGAAGGTCATTATCACTATCATTGTAAATTACAATGAATATTATATAGTTATAAAAATGCAGTAGAAAATTAAAAAATGGTAATAGAGAAAGTGAACAAAAATATAGGAATATAACTGTTATTTAAAGTTGAAGTTCCGTATGCAAGATAAAAAGAAACCGAAAAATATTATATTTATTATAAAAAATTGTCTTCTAAAACAATTTAAAAAAATTTATCTTTAATTTTCTTCTTTTTTTTACCAAAACTGGTTAAATTAAAATCTAGTTATTTAAGATCCCGATTCAACCGCTTGAACCATGGGTCCCATGTTCAAAACAGTGGTAATAAGTTATAGTTGAAGAAGAATTGCATTGGTACATCACCTAATCTATTCTCAAATAAGGAAAGAAATGACACCTGCCTGCAATGATCTTTTGCGACCTTCAAAACTGAAGGGATAGGTAACAACACCTACAGTCAAGTAACCTGCCTCTTTTGCTATTCTGGCCACTACCGGGGCAGCACCAGACCCAGTTCCCCCACCCATGCCAGCAGTTACGAACACTAAATCAGATCCTTGAAGAGCACTAGCAATAGCATCTTTAGATTCCTCAGCAGCTTGTTCCCCCAAGAGTGGATTCCCGCCAGTACCTGCATCTCTATCAAGCAACTCAAATCAAAGGAAACACTGAAATAATGAAGCCAAACCACACACGCATAAAATAAAATCACACCATAGCAACACACTAACATGTGCCTGACCTAATCCCCGAGTCAGAAGCTCTCCAATTTTGATAGGGTTCTCCGCAGCAGAATGCAACAGTGCTTGAGCATCGGTATTTATAGCATAAAATTCTACACCCTGATTGAAAAAAAAAAAAAAAAGAGAATTGTAGCAGGATACTATATTAGCATAAACATAAAAAATACCTTAATAAAAATCTACATTATCTTGTCCATCATAATGGCATGAATCCAAATTTTGTAACAGACACAAAAAAAGGGTAAAACGTGCTTTTAAATCCTCATGTTTCAGTTAAAATTAGTTTGCCTCTACTTTAAAAACAGTGATCCTCGTATTTATAGAATTTGATGAATTTAGTCTGACCCTATACATTCATTTGACCTCACCAATACAAGGACCAAAAAATATAGGTTCTAGAACCAGTTTTGCCTATATCTTGAGAAACCTAAAACACATTTTACCACAAAAAAATATATATATCCCATTAAAAAAACCAGACAATCTTACATTGTTCATAAATACTAACAAAATAAATAAAACTGAGGCACTAACATATACACCAACTGGGTTTTCTAACAAACCCACGAGAGTTATCATTCAATCTCACATTGTTCATAATTTCATAAATAAAATATAATGACGCATTAACAGACATCAAATGAGCTTTATAACAAACAAAATAACAGTAAATACAAATGGGGAAACAAAAAACGCACGTGCAATCCGCAACCAATCATTCTATTAACGGCATTGTTCCCGCCGCCGCCAACACCGACAACCTTAATCTTGGCGCTGTCGAGTGTCGAGAACGAGCAGCAGGTCACGGACGCGAAACGGCGTCGCGCGGGTGTGGAGACGCACGTTCTGGCTCTAGGGTTCAGGGAAACGCAGTTTCTGAGAGCGAAAGTGGAAGGGGAAGAGGTAGAAGAGAATGCGTTGTGACGAATTGAAGTGGGGTTGGTGAGGGGAAGCATGGCCATTGTAACACTTGTGTGGGTTGTTATTTTAGGGTTGACGACGAAGAATTGGGGTTTAGGGTTTTGGAAGATGATAAGAATGGAGCTCAGTTTTCATCTTTCAAGTTCGGTTTTTTGGATTGGAAACGAACGAATGAAGAAAAGCGCAACAGAAGGTTACGCAGAGTGGTGGCAATAGGAGTGTGGTGTGTGAACACTTCTTACATCCTACTCCATTTTTTTCCTCTTTATTAAAAAAATTATGTATTTGAAATATTAAAAAATCCTTAAAAAATAAAAAACTAAATCTTATAATGTGTAATGTTCCAGAATTTTTAATTAGTTTTTTTATGAAATTCGAACATTTTCCACACTTGAATTGCAGCAAAGATGGAAATCCTTTGTCCCTCACATAAGAACAAACCCTATACAGTATATACTAATATTGATTGAGTTTCAGTTACAGTTGCCATTTTTTCTTCAGTAGTATTTCAATTGCAATTATTAGTTTTTTCTTTTTTTAACTAAAACAGATACGACTATAGGAAAGAATTTTCCACAAATATTCAATTACAATTCTTCGAGATTTTATTTCTTTATTACTAGTTTTCTGACAAATTTTAGGTACAACAACTTTAATATGAATTATTCTTCATGGTTTTATTTATGTACAACACGTAAGATTTTTTTTTCTCCTGTTTTGTTATTTTAAAAGATTTTTATAGCACAAACTCTAATTGTTAGAATCACTAATTTGAATTTTGAGGATATATTTCCAACCATTTTCTATTCATTTAACTATATGTATTAGGTCAGTCACGTAATAATCAATGGTAATTATCACGCCTAATACAAAATCTCCCGTGTTCCTGGTTTTTTCATATTCTTTGTTTTATGCATTTTCCGTGAGTTTAATATCAAAGAAATTTAAGTCCATGTTAATTACTACTCTAGCCTATTGCAATTTATATTCCGCAGCAAGTCGCATGAGACATGCCACCTTATTGCATGCATTTTGACATGCAAAAACAAATATCTACACTGCAACTCTAGGGCTACAAAAACATAAATGCTTCAGGATTTGGAACAAATGGTAACACCCTTTCCCCAAACAATTCAACCACTGATGACACCAAATTTCCTGCATCTATGTCATCCTTCCAAGCCTGAGCAAGAGTGGCAGACACCTTCCTTTGTTGATCTCCAACCTCCTTACCTGATATGTTTTCGCTCGATATTTGCCGTGTCATCGACATCGAAGGAGCCCCCATAATGGTGGAAAATCCACCTGTTGAACCTTGCATGTCAACTGACATGGAGTTCATTGGTATTACACCTCCAGGGCCATCTGTTGAAAGTTTCTTCATTGGAGGTTGCTGTTGCTGTTGCATCAGATTGTCAGCACTGGCTTTTCGTTTGCCTTCATTGGTGTAAAGATAGAGTATGATCATTACAAGAGTATAAAATTAAAGATTGTAATCTGATTATCGAAACATGGATGCCAAAAAGAGCATTCTGATGGAAACATTTAGTCATCTGGGGAAGCACATTCAGAAACTCAGGCTTTCGATGCAACTTCAATATATTGGAAATTTGGAAATGTATCATTTTACTATTTCAGAATTCAAACATTTAATGTTGCTTGAATGCCAAAATTCATTTACTAAAGCATCCATTCGGAATATCCATGTGTGGTTAAAGATTATTTTACTTTAATATAATCGTCATTGCCCATTTTGGTACTAAGGTTAAAAATCGTTCATTTCACTCGGTAAATACAAGTGCTCTCTCTATATGTATAATTTTAAATGTTATATATCTATGGGGAGGGTAGTTTACCATGATTGAAGGTAAAGTCATTAATTAGTTTAATTTAAGTTTAAATGTTTTATTTATTTCCACAAATAGTCTTCCATTATAAATCATTTTGTCATTCCCATTACTTCTATATTTACTCTCGTTATTCAAATTATGAAGGGAAAAATAACAGTATTTAAAATTAAACATCATATAGTTTAAAATTCTTTATGAAACAAAAGACCATTGAACCTTCTCTCTTTTTTTATGCAAAACTAAGAATATTGCGTGGAAAAAATTTCATTGGTTCATATTTTTCAAACTTATATTGAAATTTTGTTTACTATCACTGATTATTAAATAATTATTCTTTGCATAGGGGCTTCCACTGCATTTCATAAACTAGCCTGGCCTTTTTATGTTTGTGCTCCTGTTAGGACTAAAAGTTAACCTTGAGAGGGAGTGAGAGATCATATAGCTATCACCATACGCCATGCAAGCAAACTAGTTTATTCATTACTCCATTCAGGATCAGGCATGTATTGCTTTTCAAACACATCAATATAATTGCAGATGTAGAAAAATAAAGTCAAACCTGACATCTGAATCATGGCTTTTCCATTGCCTCTTGAAGTAACCCGAGTTGGAGGAGTGAGCAAATTGCTGAAATTTTTTACCTTTTCATGCACACATTGGCCTACTGCACCCTGGAAAGTTTGACTTCAGTGATAAGCTAGAGAGATGTTCAGTGAAAACAAACCAATTTATGCATAATCAAACATAGGTATTATTAAACTTCAATGAGATCTAAAAAGTTTTACAGTGTCATCTACTGACAAATTGCAAATCATATAATTATGGGTAGTAAAATTAAATGTAGCAACAATTGATGGATGACAGTTAATAGATTTTAGATTATGTGTAAAATTTAAACTACTAAAACATTACAACTCACCAACAAAGCCCCATATACTTGCCAAGCTTCATGCCTCTTCATCTCATTTTTTTGTTTCTCAGGTTGCATTTCTGGCTCAAGAAGATGCAAATATGGCTCGAGGTTTGGAAGTATAAGCAAGCGAATCTACTCAAAGTAAAGGAATATATGCATTAATTGACACCAATACAACCAGAGGTTCTAAATCACAAAGCATAAAAGTCACCCGTCTACCCCATACAAAGAGTTAAGATTACAATAAAAAATAAAACATGTGCATTAACAACAGATGCATATGTTTAAGTAACATCAAATAAAAAAAGTAAAAATAAAAAGTAATAATTCTCCATTACTGTCCACAAGAACTAAACAGATGGTAAAAACTATCATGTTTGTGTAAGAAAATAATCATATCTGATCTAAAAAGGAAAAGTAGAGCTGTCTCCTTTTGAAGTTATTAACCGCAAGAGATGACCAAACATAAAAGATGAAATCAATTTAACAACCACAAGCCATTTAACAATCTAATAGCTTAAAACACCAAGGTCATAACATACCAGTCTTGATCCAAGAGCTTCTATCCCTTTAATTGCACCATAGTGTTGAGGCAGAGCTTTTGTAGGGTCCAAAAAAGAATGAAGAAATGTCTTTGTCACACGTGGTTGCAGATTGTGATAAATATGCCCAAATCTGAAAATTCCAGAGACTAGGAATTTAAAAACTTCTAAAAGATAAATACAAACTCGATATTATGTAATTGTTATTTTAATATATTAAAGTAGTCCCAAGCAATGCAATGTCAAAAGATGTAACTTGTTAAAAACAAAGTCCACCTTATGTGCAATTTTAAGGAAATTTTGGTATGCATATTAAGAAGCCCTTTGCATCATTTATAGTTCTACAGAACACATTCCTCAAACCGTGCAATTAAACTGTAAAGTATCAATATATAAATGATTCCATTTGAGAAATAAGTTAGTTTAACAACCACAATTAACAAAAAGAATGAAACCTTATTGCTCATCAGCAATTTCAGTATCATCAACCACAATTATTTTCCATTATCTTTATTGTTCAATGCTGATTACAACATATATACAGACTTCGAAATGAATTAATGTTATCCTAGGATTTATGGACAACAAATCAGCCACATTTACAAGAAATATGGAAACTCTGAACTAATTACAAATGATGAAGAAATAACTCTAAATATATCTCCTAGTCAAGTCTGTACAACAAAAATGATAATAATGCACATGCTGGAGCAGTTAACGTCATGATTAAGTTACTCTACAATTACGTTTATACTCTTATTCAATAAAAAGAAGGTCCATACCTAAGGCATATTGAAGCAACAAGATTAGCACTGAAGTTCCTAAGCTCCCAGTGATCATCAGATAGTCTGTTTCCCATCCTTTTTGCAACAATACAAGTAATGACAGGTGGCATCAATTGATGTAGCTGCAGATTTTAAATATCAGAGATCAACCTCATGAGAGTTGTCATAGATGACAATGATCATCTGAAGTCAATATATATATATATATATATATATATATATATATATATATATATATATATATATATATATATATATATATATATATATATATATCACGCACAAAAGTTTTTACAATGATGTCAAACTTACATAAAGCTCAATGTGTATCTGAGAATTTTTCACAAGGCTCCGCGCAAGACGCATCAAGGCAAATAAAACAGCTAAATTATGTAAATTACGTGCCACCTGACATAACAAGAGAAAAAGGATAAAAATGAATACATACGCTCTATTTCACACAGTAAATTAAGAAGCTTAATCAAAAACATCACTGACATAAACTTGTCAATACCTCATCAGCAACAAAGCATGTGAAATATGGAACTAAGGGATGGAGTCCAGAGTCCGTTGCCAAGCTAACCAATGCTCTTCTGAACGGAATGGATCCGGGCTTATTTAATGTTAGCTCAGTAATTTTCTCGTAGTAAAGCTGTCAGAAATAAAGATCATTAAGTGGATAAAGAAACATGGAATTGCATAAAAAAATGGCATACCAAATAATTTGTATACCTGAAGCTCCCTTGTTATTAAATGTTTAACAGGTAATTTAACATCAACAGAAAGCCCATCTTCCTTATATTCAGATTTTCTTGTCTCAGAGGGAGCTGCAAGTATCATAGGGCAAGCAAATATGTAAATGTCAGGAAAATCAAACTTCTTCATCATGAACCGCATATAGTAACTGGATAGAAAGGTGAGGGGGCTGAAATTGGGCTGATGATAAAATACAAAATTCAGTTAGCAATAAGGTTATTGTATTCAATATCAGGTTGGATCAATAGGCATAAATTGACCATATTATCATACACGCGATGAGATTGGTTGAAACTCAGCATTAACGATGTTGGTTCAGTTTTATTGCATTTAAATCTGGAAAGATACCTTCAACTGGAGCATTTTCAGGAATTGCAGGTTGCACACCTTCAATAGCCAACCAGTGACTGGTAATAGATGTATCAAGGGGTGCTTTTGGTAAAGGAGCTTCAATAAGCTGTTCAAATCAGGAAAATTGTGAGAACATCATACCAAAAAGTAATTCAACAACTTTTATTATCAGAATATAAATCTTGGTGTACCTATAAACCTTACATCTTTGATATCCACATCTTTGTCATCGATGTAGAACAAATCCTTATGTCCAGCAGCTCTTTTGAACCTCAGAGGATCATTAGAGGTGAACCCATATATTGGCTGATAGACAACAACAAACATAAGCAAAAATAAAACAAAAGCAGCAAGATCAAAGATAAAAATTTGAACAAGCTAGGGGCAGTTCAAACTTGGTGAAAAGCATTTCATGGTGCACATAAACCACAATTCAGATAGAGAAGTGTTTCCCATTTTAAAGGTTTCAAAGCAATATCTTGGTATGAATGAGGCAATCTACTTTCTACAACCACCACTCTCATAAGAATACACATAAGAGTAACACCATTGACAATTTGCCATCCTCTCATTTACAGATAAGTACCTTTTCGTAGAAACACTAACAAAACCTAACTTTTATATACACTAGTTTGAGGAAAAATATGTTTACAGGGTAGAAAACACACATGCTACCTCAATAAACCGTCTGTCAAATCCACAAAACTTTTAAAAAAATAACATATAACGTAATTCCAAACGGTAAAGTAAACACGGAAAAATAAAAGCAAGTCACCTCCAAATTTCTCAATGCAAGTGCAGTATCCACATCCTCTGCACTAAGGAAAGTTCTCATTGAATGGCGCATGCATTTTATCGACTCCTGTTAATTTCAAACAAAAAAAGAAACCCATGCCTCCATAAGCCACACTCAAAGTAGTAGTAATAACAACAACAACAACAATATCAAAATCCTACAAACAGCTACACCCATTTTAAAAATCTTAAACTTTCCAACAACCCAATAACGGAATTTCAATGTTTTTCCCTCATAGATAAAACATTTTCACGTAATTTAGAACGTGGTTTCACCATTAGCACCTGAAACGAACTGGGTCATGGCACTACGACGAAACCCACAAGGAAGCTGTCAACTTACCCGCCAAAAGTTCAAAATTGCGCTAGAGAGTGCGAGAAATTTGTGAAGGGTACCTGCATGATTTCGCGAATGCGATATTCGAGATCGGGGGCGAGAGCAAGAGCAACATCGGGGGACAAATTGGTGATGCCGATGCTCTGTGCGATGACTTCGATTGTCTCCTTTGGCACGAAACTCATCTTGATTTCAATTGAACATGAATCGGTCTTTCCTAATTGACAACGGTGGCTTAGGTTAAGGGGGAATGGTGATGATGGTAATGGCAAACACAGAACAATTTGCAGAAACAGAAGAGTGGTTTTGAATAAAGATGGAAATGTTAAAACTATTTTTAGTGCCCTAAGAATGATATGGAATTTCAAAGAGATGAAAGCTTGGAAAGTTTTTTGTGAAAACCGGGTTCTGATACTACTGAGCTTGTTTAATCCAAGCCTTTCGAAACAATGTGTAAGATAAGTTGGTGCTAAGAAGAATGGTAAATGATTAAATCACAATAATTTGAACTTAAATACGTTTTTAATGAAATATTTTCGTCCTTTACGTTCTGGTGTTTGTGTTTGGTATATTAAGTTTTAAAAGTCTCACGATGATATATTGTATTTTTATTAAAACCATTTTAATTATTTTTAATTAAAATCTCAAATTATTAGGGACAACATTTAGCCTATAATTTTTCTTAATACAACATCAAAATATAATAATAATAATAATAATAATAATATATGAAAAAATAATAATAATATTTGTAAAATGATGAGCACGTGATAAAATTTATAATAAATTCATCAAAATTCAAAAAAGATTGTCAGTATTCAATTAAATATCTAATTAATTCAAGAAATTTTTCATGCTACATGAAATTACAATTCTTCAAATGCTTAATGCTGTATTTTGTACTTGGTTTTGGTAACAGCATAGTGGAAGTTTAAGGCATGAGTTAAAAACATAGGAGCTCTTAATTTAATACCATAAATGTGAGGATTAAAGAATCATTTATGAGGATTTTTATTGATTAATTTCAAACTTTTAAATAATATTAACAATTGTGAGGATCGTAGCTAAAAAGTACAAAATGGTTTACGTAAAGTAAGTATAAAATTTTAATGGTTAAATTAAAAAATTATAAATAGAAAAACTTAATTTATTTATTTTTATAAAACATTTTTTTCTTTACAATTTTCTTTCTTTATCTTCACTCTAAATTTCTCAATTAATTTTTTTTTATTTTTTAGATTCAAGTACATCTTAGTACTCTTGGATAAGAAAATATCATTTCTACCTAATCAAAATTTTAAATAGAATAATTTTCTCTTTTCTCAAATTTAGAATATTTCTACATGTTAGGGTTAGGATTATTCGTAGGTCTCGACGGTTTACATGTAGACTTTGTTGAGAATAGATAAATTTTAACTAGTTTATAAGTATTATAGTATGTTCAATTGATTAATTAGAGTTTTTTTTGTAAGCAAGATATGTCTTATTGATAATTTAGATGTTTTTTTATTCTCTGACTTAAAGACATTATATTTGAAACAAGAAAAATTAGTTATTTATTATTATCATCATCAGGATACTAGATATGATAAAAAAATAAATTGTATATAAAATGGATAACTATGCACTGATAAATTATTACTAAATTAAGTCATGTAATAGAAATGAATCAAGCATGATCATAAGCAAAATAACTCTATAATGATAGAAGAATGTTTCTACTATCGAAATAATTCCTAAAAGGGAGAAGAAAATAAATCACTATCAACCCCTTTCTTTATCTCTTCTAACAGAATACTTATGTCTCTTACTTTTCATAATAAAACCCATGTAGCCTATAATTCGTGAACTTCACACATGTGTTTCTCCTATTTTCAGCCTCACAAAAATCATTTTCCATGTGTCCCGATCTTGTCCCTTGCTATATATACACTAAAATAAGTCCCTCACTCATTACATTTCCTCCCCCTTTAAAAATAACCTTGTCCCCAAGGTTGAACTATGGATATGTTGCTTTCATGGCATCTTTATCTTCCCATGTTACTTTAAATCATCCAACTTTTCCCATTTAACTAGCAATTGTCGAATCTGTTGTTGTCCTCTCAAAAGAACATGATCCTTTCATATAGTCATCTGTTGAATAACTGATAATTGTTCATTGGTAGTAAGAGGTAAGGGAACATAAGGATGAGTGTGTTTTCCATGACTAAACTTCAGTTGTGAAACATGCAACACGACTTAATCTTAGTTGAGGAAGGCAATAACGACTTATATGCAATAATACCAATTCTATCCACCATAGGAAAAGGCCCAAATTACCTTAAGCTTAACTTCTGATTCTTCACTAAAGCAACAATGTGCATTCTTCTCCATAACTTATTGAGTCCTTTGTAATTTGCATTTCAACTTGGCTAAAGTAGCATCACAAATTATAAGTTGATCTTCAATCGCAACTGAATCATGGAATTTGGAGTGTATCTTAATAATTGGAGGGAGTCTTTACCATACACCACCCGAAAAGGAGTCATACCAATCCTAGTATGGTAAGCAATGTTGTACCAAAACTTAGTCCATGGCAGTAACTTACACCAATCCTTAGGATTATCAAATGTGAAACAACGCAGATACATCTCTAGGCATTTATTGACAACTTCTGATTTCCTAACAGACTATAGATGGTAAGCGGTGGACATATTTAAAGAAGTGTCGCTCAATTTTAATAATTGCTATAAAAGGGATTGCAACAACCTGACAGGGGTAGTTGTGGCAATTTTGACCTACTGGCATACGAGACACTCTTAAACATAATCTTTGATAGATTTATGTATGTCCTACCAATGAAACTAATTCGTAATTTGAGGCAAATTTTTGACATATCTAGTATGACCACCCAATAATGAATTATGGTGTTCATATAAAATTTGATGTTTTAAGGTCGGTTCAATAAGAATACATAATCTCCCTTTCCAATATAATAACTCATCATGCACCATGTAATGAGGATTCGAAAGTTGTTTTGTTCTACATAGCTCAATGAGTTTTTGCAATTCCCATCATTCAGTAAAACTTGTTTCAATTTTGTGAGTATGTGAAATTTTGGCTAAGACCAAGCCATATGGAAAGATCTAGACAAACAATCATCATGAATGTTATCTTTACCTGGCTTATACTCAATAGTAAAGTCATAACCAAGTAGTTTGTGAAGTCAAATTTGTTGTTCAGGAGTTTGCATTGCTTGGTCAACTATTTTTTTCAAACTCTTTAGATTCGTTTGGATTACAAACTTATGGCCTAAAAAGTAATGCCTGAATTTTGCAATAGCATCAATGATTGCATAGAATTTTCGGGTGTAAGTTGATTTCTTCTACATATTAAGGGTCAACTTCTTTGAGGAAAAGGCAATTAGGTGATTGTCTTGGCTTAAAACTGCCTCTATGCCCAAACTAGATGCATCAGTCTCTGAACTGAAAGGCTAGCTAAAATTTGGTAAAGCCAAGACAAGATCTTACATTATTGTTGTCTTAAAAGATTCAAATGTTGTTAAAGTTATTAAATTTTGCCTTTCCTTAACAAATCAATTAGAGGGGCTATTATAGAAGCATAGTCTCTAAGAGCATCTCCAATGGAGAATACTTCAAACAAATTTCAAGGTGCTTGGAGCAAATTTTCCATTGGAGAAGATAACATGGCATGAAAAGTTGTTTCAGATTGAGAGAAAATTGCTTCATGAAGCACGAGTTCCTTGAAATAAAATATAATATTTTAATATCTTACACACAACAAACAAACAAAAATTATTCATCATTAATTTAAAATTATTCATCAATCCAAACACATCATCAACAGAAAATTACAAAATTATCAACCACCAATAAAAATAATCATCAATTAATAATAATTAATTTTATAATTAAAATTAAAATATATAAAATTGTAATATAAATAACACCATTAGGTAGCGACAATGACCATAGATACAGTGACAATGACAATAGACGCAACGACAGTGATGGTGGACACAACACAACGAATGCAGACAATGAATGCGGAAGCGGACAAAGACATAAAGGGAGATGTGGAGGTGAACTTAGATATAAACAACAAAGGCGAATGTGGAGGTAGAGGTGGAGGCGGACAATGGCAACAAACAACAAACGCAAGGGGAAGAGAGAGAGCATAAGGAGGAAGGGAGAAGTAGCAGGAAGAAATGATATATTAAGAATGAAATGGATATAAGAGATCTGAGTGAGGAGAAAGGAGATATGAGTGAAATGGAGCAAGTGGAATGAAAGAGATGTGCGATTGAGTGGAGGAATGAAGTTGAAAATAAAATTGGATTGTTAGATTAAGAAGAAGAAAAAATTGACCATTAAATTGGGTCTGTTATTAGTCGTTGAAAAGTAATTTCAAAATTTACCGTTGAGTAGTAATCGTTCACCTTGCAGTTTTTTACATTATAAAAACTCCGTCAAGGATAAAAAAATTTCACATATCCTTCATTTAACGATTTTTCTCTAATTATGGATCCCAATTAATTACTAGTATTATTATAATTTATTGCAAAATAGTTCATCTCTTACAGATGAAAATTCCTAAAATTATATTTATCCACCACCATTTTTTATGTTTCCACCACCTCCAATGACATCAAATATGAGTAACATTCCTCCTTCATCCAACAAAAATTATCATTCCCTAATTGGACTCGATAATATCCAACTTGACAGAAGCAGTAAAAATATGTCTCAAAGAAAACCTCGTGTAGCATTCTCAATACTAGAAGATATAATTATAATTCGATCATGGTTGAATATGTCAAAGGATCTAATTGTTAGAGTTTATCAATCATTAACCCAATATTGAGAGCATACTTAAGAAGTATACAACAATGATGACAAATATAACACTTTCACAAAGAAGTCGATGAGTTAATTAAAATCTCAATGGAGTAAATTTCACCCTGTAGTTCAAAAATTTAAGACATGCTACAAATAAGTTATCAATCAAAGGAAAAATGGTTAGGTCGAGAAAGATATTATGTTATTCATATATAAGATTTTCACAGAAGAATTCGAAAAGGAAAAAAATTAAATGTGAACATGCTTGGTTGTTCTTAAGAAATGAATCAAAATGACAATCGGTATTTATCAATGATTCTTTGAAAGGATGTAAAATTTCTACTTTA